GGGTAACTATGCTTGTTCGAGGATTGAAGGCCTGGTTGCTGTCGATTTGCTTAATCTTGCTTGCATCCAACAGGAATGATTGTCTCTGACGGCAGCGAAGCCGCCACCAGCACCGCCATCATCGTCATCCTCCTCCTCATCCTCATCCTCCTCCTCGTCCTCATCATCATGATCAGTACCTGTATCACCTCTGTCACCTTCATCATCCTCACCATCGCTGCGGTATCTTTAGAATCGCCATCATTACCATCGTAATCATCGCAGTCGTGGTCGTGGTCGTCGTGGTGATGGTAATCGTTCGCCTTGACAGTCACCAGTCATCGCCGCCAGTATCGCCATCGCCATCGGCATCATATTCGCGAACATCACGATTTAGCAGTGTCGCTGTTGCGGCCGTTGTTGTTGTTGTTGTGGCGGTGGTGGTGGTGGTGGTGGTGGTGCTGCTGCTGCTGCTGCTGCTGCTGCTGCTTGCTGTTGCTGGTTGCTGTTGCTGCTGCTTAGCCTTTTCTGCTTATTCTATTGCTGTTGCCCTTCTTATTCTTCTTGACTTAGACTTGTTGGCGTTCTTGTCCATCTTGGTGCTGATGATGATGGTGATGACGACAGTGACCATCAAGATGCACCACAGTGGAGCCCACAAGACCGAAACGTCAAAGCCCTGGGCCAAGATGCCGTACTCTGACATGCTCTAGCTGTGCCAGGAACGCGACAGGAGGCCGCTTTATGCTGTCTGGACACCCTGCTCACAGAGAGCAGTGGCATGTCCTTGAGCTTGGTTTTAGTCCGATATCCCACAAAAATCTTGTTAGTGCGGCAAAGAGCGAGAAACATGTTTCGCTGCCACATCGACAAATGAGAACTGTTGACCCTCGTCTGCCATTCATCGCCCTCTTCCCCACCATGTTCCAAGAGGTAACTAGCACAGTAAAACATGCTACAGGAAACATCATGGTGGTGAGCCTTGAGACTGAGTGGGTCTTCCTCAATTTTGTATTCATGGGTGGTTTCCTGGCGGCGGTTCGGTTGCTGTAGCCCTTCCCTGAGACGCGGGGTTGTCTCATTCATGCACTTTGTTCTTGCTGCTGGTGGCCATGCTCCGCCTGTGGGGTCGGATGTTTGCACGGATTCATAGCCGTGCGGTGTGCAGGTTCGCAGAAGCAGATGAAGCCGAACAGTGCCAAGAAATCGCTGAGCCCGGGGCTTGCCCACGAACATAGAAGCTTCATGAAGGTGTGAACAAGTGTGAAAACACGGCTTCAGAGGCACGTTCGGTTGAGGTCCATCCTGTGATGGCTGCAGCACCAATGTTGAGAGTTCCGAAGAAGCGGTCAGCACTTTCCAAGCACAGTCGAAATCACCATGTACTTCTCTTAACTGCATCAGGCTGTAGAAATGCAAGGCTCCGTGTTCTAAATGCCGTCTTGGTGCACTTTTCCTTGAAACAGTCTACTAGCCGTCGGCTCTAGGGATGATGCGAGCCCTTTCTCCATGCGAGTGCTGTAAATGTGTAGTAGGTCATGTCTTCGGTCTTCGTGTTCTAAAGATTCTAAAGACGGCTTCACGATTGCGTGGCTGCTGCACCTTGCATGTTTCACAACCGACAGTGCTGAAGACGTGACAGCCGTGCTTTCTCAGGATCATGGAACACCAAGAGCCGCTGAGGGGGGTGCGCAGTTGCACCTGCATCGCCGTGTCTTTGTAAGTTTTCGTCCGTGAATCCAACACCTTTTTGGAAGTTGCCAGAAGCATCCTGCTGGGCAGGATGCAGAGAGTCTCAGCACCACGTCCGAAGACGCCCCACGCCTCGACTCCATTGATTTTACTTTGTCCCCATGTCTACTCAACTTTGTGCACTCCAACTCGCGCCACTGAACCACCCATGCTCGATGCTAGCATCGCCAAGTGGAGAAGTAGGGTCGTCGAACGGACATGGTGCGGGATCAGTCCAGCCACCCACAGCTAACGGTTGAACTGCTGAAGCTCTGGGTTGATGGCTTGGGATCTCAGAAGTCTGGCATGTTGCAGACTTACGTTTTTGAGATTTTCGACCACAGTGCCCAGTGCCCGTGGTAGTAAAACACCAGGTTTCTAAGACCTGCGTGCTCAGGCCAGAGCACCGCGGATGGATGGAGATTGTGAGAACTCCCATGGCCTGGCGGCCTGGCACAAGAGCTTCAGATGCGAAGGCATCGAAAGGGAATTGGTTAGGCTTGACTGGCCATCCGCGCTAAGTCTCTGGCCGTCGACTTGTCTTGCTGCTAGGTCGAACTTGCTCGGATGTGAAGCTCTTTTTCTGTCAACCTTATCCGCGAGAGCTTGAGCAGGTGTTGCAAGGCCTTCGAGACACCTGCTTGAATCCCCTCGGGAAGAGCCCGACAGTGTTTTTCCAAGCCTCATCGTAGTCGCACGATGCGTGGCCAGCATGATTCACATGGCACCAGTGCCATAAGATAGGTGAGGTACGGCAACAGATTTGCGAAGGGAAGAAACTATAGACCCCGCACTCGTGGTCTACTGCTTTCGCCACGTGTCGAGGCCCCCAGGCAGGGGGAGGAGTAGCCCTAAAACCTGCGAAGAGCAGGTAGAGCGGGTTCTGACATGAAGTCTCATTCCTACACTCCTGTTCGTCATGTCGAGGTAATTGGCCAGCAGGTCTGGAGGCCGAAGCGTAATGGGATTTCAGGCTCATGAGCTCCTAAAGGCTTTCCATCTGCTCTCAGCCTCCAGCAACTGCCGGTATCAGCTCTATGGCAGCTCTCGGCATGTGCACAATCATGCTACACAAGCCCCCGGAGCCGCAGAGGTAGCATAAAAGTGCTGATTAGGTCGTATATTCAAAGATGAAACTCCACCCCTGCAGTCCCTAAGCACTCCACACCTCCACCCCTCCACCGGGGTGAGGGGTGTGGAGGGGGAACGGAGGTAGCATAAAATATCTGAATAGGTAGTTAAAAATGTGCAAATGAAAAAATGGTCACCGTACGAGTACTGCTGAGCAGTCTTACTGTTGGCATGGGCGATGACAGGTGCATCAATGGCATGGGCGGAGGAGCGGCAGCAATGTTAGCCAGTAGATCAGCGGTAATGTGATTGACCAGACTGGCGCCAGAAATTGCAATAAACCGGCTAGTTACGAAAGTACTGTTCACAGATGAACTGGCCGACGACCGTAGCACAGCGCAGCAGCAGTGATACAATCTGGGCAGTACCAGCAGCAATCATCGGAACAACAGTGGCATCTCCAGCTCTCAGAACAGCACTGCTACTGTTACGCCAGAAGGAGGACGTGAGCTTGTGTCTTGAACCAGGTGCGAATATGGGGAGTTGGTAATCCGAAACGTACAGAGTTCATTATAGTGCTGATAGCATGAATATCCAAATGCGTGTGTTTGTGTGTGTGTGTTTGTAGATATATATATAATACAGACACATATGTATGCATGTATGTATGTATGTATGTATGTATGAGAAAATACAACTAAATACAAATAGATATAAAATTTTAATAGCGAAGATAAATATGCATATACACATATACAAAGTTTGAACGTATAGAAATACACGTATGTACACACATACATACATACATACATGCATGCATGCATGCATGCATGCATGCATGCATGCATGCATGCATGCATGCATACTGACATACATACATGCATACATACATGCATACATACATGCATACATACATGCATACATGCATACATACATACATACATACATACATACATACATACAGATACACATTATGTATAGTTGGTGCATACGTCTGTACATACATATACATATACATCTATATATATATGTATGTATATATGTATGTATATATTATATTATATATATGTATGTGTATATATATATAGATAGGTGTATATATATATATATACACATATGTGTGTGTGTGTGTGGTTTTTTGCAGAAATGCTACTGAGCTGGTCTGTAGCTTTTGCACAAATGTTTCGCGTCTTGTGAGTTGTTCCCAAACCTTAGCTGCTCTGGTGGCTCCAGCAAAATTAACAGGAGGTATAATGCCTTGTGCTTTTTGACAGAGGCAGTTTGGCTTTCAGAAGCAATCCGTGTTTTGCAGCGGGCCATACATTGGCACCATTTGCCTTGCCTCGGCAAGCGAGAGTCTTTGAATCTTGTTTGTTGCGACTCTCGTAAACAAGCCAAGTCGGGATTGCCGCTCCAGTTACGATTCTTGGGGAGCAGGAGTCGTAACTTGTGAGACGATGCTAGTTACCGGCAGGGGCCGGCAGGGGCAGCACAGTCGCAAACTCTGCAGGGTGTGTTTGAGGCATTCTGAGCAAAGATACGTGAGCAGGGATCTGTGGAAGGTGCTGCTGCTCTACTCCGGCCTTAAGGGCCCTTGATTTCTCTTTTGAACGGAAGTCCTGGATAAGGACGTCTCGTTCGTGGTGCCGACAGTCTTGGAGAACAGGGCTTCACTGTCAAGTATAGCTCTTAGCCCTTCTGTGTCCACGCAGCTGCTATGGAATCCGCTTGCTCAGCTACTGCTGCTTCATAAGCCTTGTTCTCTCAATCGCTGTATTTTGGTCTTTGGATATGAAAAGACCAGTTTTAGAACCAAGCGATGCGACATTCCTAAAACCTGACGCCAACCTGAACCAAAGCGCATATGTCGTGGTCCGAACACTGCAAACTCTCCAAGCCGGGACTTGGGTGTGAAGATGCTAGGACTGCTAGGAGGGGAGGCAGGCACTCCACGCCAAGTCTTATCATAGCGGGCTTCTTCGCGCTGCGAGGCACCCTTGAGAAATGCTCATCTGGACAGGCGATCTGGATGAAGCTGTTCCAAGTGTCCCTGCCGATGTGCAGAGTGAATGGTTCGCTGCCCAGAAGGCCAGGAAACGTGACCAGTGTTCGGTGTAATAGTAGTAGCTGTAGTGGCAAGCATCACAGTGATGTCTCAATAATGCTACTAACTAGTCATTGCACAGTTTGTAGCCATTTAATAACGGCTGCACCAGTAGTGGGAGTTATTCGCAGTAAGTTATGCCTGCGCAGATCCCCAAACAGTGAAACATACAGCGACTGCTAATGCCACCTGCAAGCCCTCTTGCACTTATTGTGAGTCTGCTACTGCTAGTCCCAGTCCTGCTAGCACTGGTACTAGTACCAGTACTAGCAGTAGTAGTAGTAGTAGTAGTAGTAGTAGTAGTAGTAGCAGGAGGGCGGAGGGTTGGTTGGCGACGCCAGTGTTTTCCTCATCTGAGTGTGTTAGCCGTCGAGTTTTAAGCTGTTTTACTTGTTCGCCGTGTTTGCGTTTGTCGGTGTTACGATTTGAAGACATGCTGAACGCTGTTGTTTCTCGAGTTTTTGCCTGGTTTTGATCGATGTGGGCAAAGTTCACGTTTTTGGTGGATACTCTTTGCCTGCAAAAGAATCTTGAGCTGTGCGCTGATGGTGTCGACTCCTGGAACCAGAACCTGATATAAAACACTGTGGAGCAGAAACACAGCCTAACAAAAAGCTTATAGCGATAATTAGCAGTAGGTCTCCTTAGCTCTAGCAGAATGGAGAGCTTCGTAACCGCCCTGACCCTATCACCGAAGGCCCTCCTGGGAACCCTTGTCCAACAGCAAATCCTGTCTAACATCAAAGCTGTCTAGCAGCAAAGCCTGTGTAACAGCAAAGCCAAGGCCCGAACATTAAGTTGAAGGGGTCCAACACGTCCATAGCAAACAAGCAGTTCCAAACAACGTGATCATTGACCAAATCCATGAACACACATACTACCACTACCACCACCACTACTATTGCTTCTACTACTGCCACTGCGTCTGCTACTGCTTTACAGGTACGACTACTGCTGCGACGACGACGGCGACGATGTCGACGACGTCTACGACAGTACAATCATAAATTCGGGACCTTCGGACCGACTTATCTCAGGGCTTTACTAGCCTTGTTGCGCTTTGGGTGTAGGTGGAGTTCCATGACATCAGCTCTGATGGCGAGGAGGATGTCCGAAGGCCGGCCCGAGAGAGTACCGAACCAGGACCCACCCACATCGTCTGTCGCGTTGAGGCCTCCAGAGGCCGAAAGCTTCCTCCAGAGCCGGTTCCGAGTTGTCAACGCGCGTCGTCTTGGGGTAAGAAATTGATGCGTGCTGGAGCCTGTGGCTACCAGCAAAACGCTTCCTCCTGCAATGCGATGGACAGCCTCTCTGGAATCAAGCGTGCCGCATGCTGTTGATGATGGTGGTGAGGTGGATGGTGCTGTTGGTGATGATGCTACGAGGTGCACAGAAGTTCTGTAAGGAAGCGCAGGGAGCGGGCTCCCGTATGCTACGTGCTCTTCCCTGACAGAGGAGCCGTGCTCCGGTGGAGGCCGAGGCCCAAGAGGAACCCGTTGAGGCGGCAGGAGACGTCCTTGCTCGGGAGTTGCTGATGCTCGGTGTAGCTCTTTTCGCCATGTTCGTGTGCTTTGGTAGAGTGCGTGTCACCGATTCTGTAGCTGCTTCCTCCACAGAACTGCATACCGAAAGCCTTCCAGATGCTCGACTGGAGATTATCGACCCGAAACATCGTAGCATGCAGACATGGCCGTCCAACTAGATCCAGATCCGACCATGGAAGTACAAGTAGAAGTGTGAGAGCCGAAAGCAAGCATTGTGCATGGCATTGAAAGTTATTCTATTATCGTCTCTTCTTGCATCACGGACGCAGCCCGAGCCTGTTGGTTGGGGCTCGTCTGCACAGGCGCCTGTGGGCTTGGTTTTCGTGCAGCGCATTGCCGAACTCGAAATGCGGAGTGACGAACTCAAGCAGCCCGGGTGCCCGGAAGCAAGAAAGACAGCAAGTTCTGCTTTCAGGGCGTCGCCGCGGTGTGAGGACTTTTCTGTTTGCAGTTTTCAGAGGAATGTGTCGGGTTTCTGCTGTTCGAGGGTGGCCTTCTTCGAACTGGCTGAAGCCTAGACGCCTCTGTTAAAGTCATTTCTCGGACTTACTCCGGTAGGACATGATGATGGCAATGTAGGAGCCCGCAGCTGATCCAGCCTGGGGCTCTATGTCAGAAAAGAAAAGCTGGTTCGAAGCTGCAAAAGTGTGCATGCGTAAACAAATACCTATCTATCTACCTACCTACCTATCTATCTACCTATCTGTCTATCTGTCTGTCTACCTACCTACCTATCTATCCATCCATCTTGTCAAATCTAATCTAATCTAGTCGAATCTAATCAATCTCTATCTATCTATCTATCTATCTATCTATCTATCCGTCTATCCGTGTATATATATGTGTAGCCCTGCAGACATATATAGATATATGCACACATACGTAGCACATATGTACATATAGGTAGGCAAGTACATGCAAATATACTATTCCCTTCGTATAGGGTGTGATGTTCCATTTGACATCTGACCATGGTGGTGATGTTGATGATGATGACGGTGATCGTGACGACGATGGGATGTCGACCTGCCAGGCCCTACATCTCCTGACTCACCGACACCATGAGCTCGAGACCTGTAAGTGTCTGTAATTGGTACTACTGCGATGCCTCTTCCGGACCAGGCAGTTGGAGGAGCTTCATCACTCTGAGTCGGCACTGAGGAAGGAGAACCAGGAGTGTCGGGGGTTGGGATGCTTGGAAAGGCAAGTCTTTGCATTACGATCTCAGATCGCACTTGTATACCGGCGAGGACACAATTTCAGGTTGAAGCCTGACTCGAAAAGCTGTGAGGGATTTGACCCCCTGTATGCCAACAGCCGGAACGCAGGTAGCATCAGGGAGTCAACTGAAACTAGATGACCTCATCGTCGAAGCTCGGCAAACTCAGGAGAAGAACGACCTCATCGCAGTCTTACTCCGGAAGGCCCCGGCAACAGTTTTTTTGTGCTGGCCGGCATCCAGACACGGTTCTTTGCATCCATGGTCGGTGAGTGTCTCATCAACGGGAAAATGAGTGATATCAGACCCCCACATCATCTCCTTTTGCCCTCTGCTTTCCGCCGTCATCCCGCGGGCAGGCGAAGCTCCCAGAGACCAAGCCGGCCGGAAGCGCGCCGCGCGCGGCAGGTTCCCGAAGGGCCGGTTTTCATATTACATGTTTGTAATATGGGAGCAGATCAGGAAATAGTGAATATAGTTGCCAAAACAATTTCTTCGAGGGTTTCTTGTTCGTACTATACTAAACTGTACAGCACCCCAACACCCTAGTCTAGACATTGAGGGAAGAGGAGGACCATGGCTGGCAAGTTGTGGAAGACACGAGGTCTCCTCAGACGTTAGGGTTGAGGGTTTAGGGTTAAGATGACCGCCGCCCCAGGCCATTGGTGGAGCCAAGCCTCCCAAAGGTCTGCGCAGGAGGAGACCGATGCCTTGCAATAGGGTTTGAGTTTTGGGTCCTGAAGGTAATGCAGGATTTCTATCATCAACAGCAGGTGCCCGTCGGTGCCATGAGCCACCGTGCTCCGGCACAAGGCTGGAGGCACAGGAGGTATCGCAGGCTGTGGTGGTAGCAAGCCCAAGCCCTTGCCGAACTGCTGCTGGACATTGCTCGAAAGCCTAGCCTGGGTCAGACTCTCAGTCATCATTGTCATCATGATTATTGCTATCATTATTATCATCATTAGTCATTAGTATTATTTCTAGTATCACTGTTACTATTATCAGTGTGATTATTATCAGGACATCTTGGAGCTTGAGAGGATCGTCGAGGACACGACCGAAGACAACATCCGCTTGAGGAGCTTCGCCTTTGGCTTGAGCAGATGAGCCAACTTCTGGGGCCCTCAAAGGGGGGAAGGGGTTTAGGGTTTAGGTTTAGGGTTGAGGGATGTTGAGGGTTTAGGGCTAGGCACTTCTGGGGGGTGGCTGGCCGCGGTGTTGTGACCCGAGGCGCGGCCGGGGGCATCGGATTCGAGTTGTTGGTTGAGAGTGATAGGACCATATAGGGCTCTAAATGATCCGTGGCGATTGTCCAGGAATGACATCAAGATCATGTCAGACGAGCTGCGGAAAGTGATGGATGTGCAGCCGACAAAGGCCTCGTGTTCGCGTTCCTTACCTGTAGAAGCTTGGGTTGTGTTTCTGATGGGGTTGGCGTGGTTTCATTGACTCTACTCTGCAACTGCAAGCCTTACAGTTGTGCAGGTTTGTACCAGCTCCAGCAGCTTAGCCTCAATTTCTGCCGAATTCAGGTGGAAAAGAGCAATAAGGCCCGCGGCATCGCCTTAGGCGAGAGGGAAAAGATCACTCTGCTTGTGTCTACTGTGGTGTCATGAAGGGCTAGGGCTAAAGGGTTGGGATGTACGCGAGCCTGATTCCAGAGCAAGGATCTCTTTGGTCGTGCTACCATCGGTGTCTGAAGCACTTTCATGAATCGGCCCCCTGCAGGCAGAGGGACTTTGTAGCTGCAGTTTCTCAGCCCGCAAAGTCCTTCTGCACCAGCGCCTGCACTCGTAGTGGGATCTGCGAGTGAGCCAGTTGCTTCAAAGCGCGCTTGAGAGTTTTTCGGGTATAAGCCGCACGACTGAAACTTCCAATCACTGCAAAGCCGTAAGACGCAGACGCTGGCAACAGATACAACCTATCACCAAGGGTCTTCTTTGTCGCTTCGTGCACTGCATTCATGTTTTGCAGGCCTCGTGCAGATCCCAGAAGCATTCAACCTTAGCACACGAAGCATCCTCGCTATAGCAGCCGAAGCGGCAGCCGTAGTGTGGCCTTGGTCTTTCTCTGCCATGCGCTATGGGAACGAACTCTCATAATGCGCGAGCCTTTCAGCTCTGTCAGTGTTAGGTCCAGGATAGGTCCATTCTTTCACTCAAGCGAGTCCTGCGAGGACTCAGCTGCAGTTTAGTTTTCAAGTGGTCTCAGGGGGGGGCACCACACTGGGCAGGTGCGGTATATTGAAGTTTCTTGACATCAGGTTCCCCCTCTCAAAGTCTTCCTCTTCCAACTTTCAATACCGGGAATAGCTTTGACAGCTTCTTGTTATCGCTGCTACTGCTACAGCAGTCGCACCTTTTCTGCCTCTTCAACCCTGCTGCTGAATGGTAAGGTACTGCTGTGGCTATTGCTGTGGTTTCCGCTGCTGTTCGTCCACTCGCTATACTATTGTTGTGAGGAAACATGTAGTCCGTTCACATTCTGGGGTTTGATGATATTGATTGCTGCATGCGCTTCGAAGGTGATCGTTACCGATGCCGTGACTACTAATGCTGCTACTATTATTGCTAGTCGTCGCACCCAGTGTGCGGCACCAACCCTCGGATGCGAGCCTTCGTCCAGACTTCTTATAAATGGCTTGCGTGCAGAGATGGGAGCGTGTGCTCTGATGCATTCAATGTGGATGTGACACCGGGCATTTGGCATGCTCTCAGCCCGTCAAGAAATCAACCACATGAGATTTGGCGTGATTGTCGGGAAGGGGTAGCAATCGTGCTACTGCTTTTGCTGATGCACCAACTCTTCCCCCCGAAACCACAGCCCCGCGTCTCAGTTCTCTGAGGCAGGCTGGGCAGAGGGTGCGCCAGGACACTTGCGCCTGCTGTGTTTACTCATTTTTTTTGCAAGAGACTGTGCTGCAGGGCTTTCGAGGTGGGAGGCTCCGACTTTCAGGCTGCACGCAACACTTGGCAGAGGACCTTCTTTCGTCCCTGCGTGCAGACCCGTCTGTGCTTCTTACAGCCGAAGCGGAGGCTGCTCCTGGTGAGCTTGTGCAAGTTGCTGGAGGGAGCACGAGTGTTTCGCTGCAAGTGAGCTCTGGTCTCCGCTTCTGCTGGATATTTGCAGGCACTCCGAAAGGACTCCGACTTCCTTCTTTCCGCCATCGGCATCCACGGCTCTGCGCTCTCCTATGCAGCAGAGGCAGGCACTCAGAAAGAAGGAATTGGCTTCGACTTCAATCGCCCTTGTCAGTGATTTGTGTCTAGCTTCTGGACAGCGCGTGTTCTAGGCACAGGGCGCAGATCTTGGTACTAATCAGCAACCCACTGCAGCCACCGCAGTCGTGCAACAGGCTTTGAATGGCGAAAGATCTGGTAGAATTGTGTCTACATCAAGACTCACCACGTTCCTAGCTTCCAGCTGCATTGCGAGCATCCACATTCATCATAGCGAGGAGAACGACCATCCTCCGAATCCTCCTGGAAATCGCTAGCAGTTAGCATCACCAGCAGCAGAGCCGATAAGACAGGAGCTTCAGGAGAACTGGGACTTCGTGATGGCTGCACTGAAGGCCGAGCTGCGACGGTTTCGCTTCGAGAGCTCTTGGCAGGTCTGAGGCGAGGCTGAGTCAGTAGTACCACAGTAGAATCATCATCATCGTCATCATCATCGCTGCTAGATTCCGTTCTTCTTCTTCTTCTGTGTCAATGCCCCGGTGCAGTTCGATCTTGTCGAGGGAGTGGAATACTTGTTTGGCTATGCCCAAGCTGACGTACAATTTGCCTTTTTTCGGGCCGTTCGTGGCTTCTATGCAACCCGATCAGAAGGTGGAGTTCAGGGCTCCTTTCGGGTGGCATGGGGCATTCACTACGGATTCTGCTCCAGCCCCTACAGAACAAGATGATAGGATGCCTTCAATCCTGCGAGGTCATTGGATGAATGAATATATTGATCATGACACAAACAAAGACACACAGCCAGACAGAGACAGACAGGCAGGCAGGCAGGCAGATAGACAGACGGACAGAAAGACAGACACAGACAGACACAGACAGACACAGACAGACACAGACAGACACAGACAGACACAGACAGACATAGACAGACAAAGACAGACACAGACAGACACAGACAGACACAGACAGACAGAGACAGAC